TCTTGCTCGTTCTTCTTGTGATGAGACAGCTTTCAACGAGTGTAGATAAAAAACAAATTGTTATGACTATTCAAAAGTGCTTAAATTAAGTTTATTTGAATAAATTATTTTCGTACAAAGTCGTTCATGTGAGTACCTCTGTCTCATCTATTTCAGCGGTCATTCAGCTATAGATAGATAGAAGATAGAATGTACTTTATTTGTAACACATAGTAATATCCACAAAAAAAATAAAAAAATAGTACACATGTATATATAGTTACAGTAAGTAATATATAATTAACAAACAGACCCGCGCAACTCCGTCTGCATAACACTTACTTGACGTTTGTAAGCATATTTCGGCCAATTTACTTAATATCTTTTTAAACTATAGCCTATATATTGTTCTCATATATAAGCTGTATTGCTCTAAAGTTTCATCAAAATCCGTTCAATAGTTTTTGCGTGAAAAAGTAACTAACTTCCATCTATAATCACCAACATTCGCGTTTAATAATATTAGTAAGATTTCCGGTTTGCAGGGTGAGATGTGTATCTAAGTATATCTGTCAGTTGTCTAGTACTCATAGCACAAGCTCTGCTTAGCTTAGGACTAGATGGCGCTGTGTGGTTTGGTACTAGTATATTATTATTAATCCAGTGTGGCAGTCTTGGCTAGTTTTCATATACGAAATATACTGTAGCTGTACAAGTTCTAAACATGTTACTTGTCGGTCCCTATTTTATTATTAGTAGTAACTAGCAATCGAAAGTAATAATTGGTATATGAGAACTGGCCAAGTTAGACCTTAGGCTACAGTATATTATCCCAAGTTATAAGAAGAAATGATATTTTATATTGGTATAAATACATTTCAGGACAGACCATTGAACTTGGCACCCATTTAGATCTCATCTCTTTTGTCATAGAAGTCAACAATCACGGCATATATCATAATATTAAACTCGGCTATCATTTCACATTTATGTTTTTGATGGGATACATATAAATAAAACTGGAGTGTATGTTTGTAATATTAAAATAACCGTTTTTTACTACATGCATATGAATATTAATACGGTACATACACTAAAATAACATTTTTTACAATTTTTGTCTGTCTATCTGTTTGTTCCGGCTAATCTCTGAAAAGGCTGGACCTATTTTGAAGGGACTTTTTTTGGCAGGTAGCTGATGTAATAAGGAGTAAATTAGGTTACTTTTATTATAGAAATACAAAGTTAAATTCCACGCGGTCGAATTCGCGGGTACAACTAGTCTTACATAAAACCTGTGTAATAGTGTTGTTTATTGCGAATAAAAAGTATAAGAAAACGCTTTGTAAGGATGTGCTTAACAAATGTACTTGATGTAATTCCGTCTGACGAAACAGAAGAAGCATTAAAATATATGCAACGTTTCGTATATGTAAAGGTTAAGGAACTAAAGGATGGCTACCATTATGTTTCCAAACCTCTAGTAGGGTTGTTACATGCTACTTAAAGAAAAGATAGTTTTTATTATATAAAAAAATTAAAACAAAGTATATTGTAGAATAATCGTTTATTTAATTGACAATTGATATCAAAGCATTGAGAATTAGTACTACATATACCAGTCCTTTATTTGTGCTAGACTAACCTCCTAAACTGTATTGTTTTTGTTTTTTTTTTTAGCCCACTTTCTATTCTGCAATTTAGTGTTTTTGCCATGTCCGTCATATTTTCTTCTATAGATTTAGGTATATTATTTTTGTTTAGTAATTTCTGACTTTGTATTTTTTTTTCACCAATTATTACCCACTCATTACTACCTTTGCCACTATTTTGTGTTGACTGGAAGAGGTCTCTTCTAGGGATTAGCCCAACTTTACTCAACATTGTCTCTCAATTATTTTATTAACTGTATTTTATGTAATAAAGAATATATATATATATAGTTCTTCTTTTAAGTCTCTTGGGCGGATGAAAAATATTGTTTATGAAAACATCTCTTGTTAATTAAGCGATATAATAAAATCAATTAATAAAACCGTGTCGATAAGTTTTTTTTTTTATTCTTATGGTAATTATTTTTTTCACACCCCTAACTTGTAGATGATTATCAGCGAGCCGTGCGTACCGTGTACCTTATTCCGTTGACATGTAAAGTACTCTAATCAGAATCGATTCAACATAATGCGAACCCCGACCGTAACCATTGCTTACTAATCGTAAATCAATGGGAACGAGTCATAAAAACACCAGCGGCGAACGGCAGCATCGATGATATCCCGCGATTGTGATGCAAATCGGTACTCGAATCGATTATTATCGATTTATCAGATGAGCCGCCGCGCCCCGAAGGTATTGTGGGGATGTGTGCACGTAATGAATCTAATAAGTAATCTGGAGATATATATTTCACACGTTGCGAAGCATCGAGGTACTATGTTTTTATTGGATGATAATGGTATGGTGCACCCGACTACGTTAACGGTTTAAAATGGTAGGGCACTGGTGGACGATGATAAGATGAGCCTGAGGTCAGGTCAGTCTCTGAAGTTTGCAGATATATTTCACACGTTGCTAAGCATCGAGGTACTAGTTTTTATTAGATGGTATTGGAATAGTGAACCCGACTGCGTTAACGGTTCAAACTAGCAGGACACTAGTGGAAGACGAGCATGAGGTCAGGTCAGCTAGCTCATCTTGGCCAATCCACTTGGAATTTATCATGATAGTTTCCAAGGGGAACAGCGTAGAGGTCAACCTGAGCTTTTAACCTTTTTCTATTGCTACGGATCATACATAATGACACAAACTTGTTAACCTGATTTTGCGCTGTATTGTCCACATTTATAGAAGTGTATCTATGTTTTTTTTATTGTCTATGTTACTGTTTTTGTTTTCCTTGTTTTTTTTATATTGACGATCTCTGTGGTCTCATGGTTTAGCATATCGCTTTACGTCCGATGGTCAGGGGTTCGATTCCTCCCACGGTACAAACATTTGTATTCATGAGTATGATTGTTTGAATCGGTTTGGGTGTTTTCTATGTATAATATACATCTATATACGAAAAAAATTATCTATTTATATCAGTTGTCTAGTACCCATAAGCTATGCTTACCTTGGTATTAGATGGTGCTGTGTAAATTATCCTGAGATATTGTTATTATTAATAATATGTCTGGAAAATAAATCACTGAGACCGGTCACTGTCTGGTCAGGTCATTTAACATATCTTGTATAGAAAATAGATAAACCTTTTAAAGAATCATTCAATTTTACTACATCTAAGTAGAGGTAGTAAAATGAAACGATTTTTTTATTAGTTATAGAGTATTATAAACTCTTATAAGGTAGTAAACTTACAGGACGACGTTTTCAATGCAGCTAAGAATTATTGCGTCAAAATTATATAGAAACAAGGTGGTCGTTATTATAATGAGGCTATTCAGTGGTCTTTCTGTTACAGCGCATTTCACTGGAACCTTATAATTTCTACAAAGTGAAACGTTGTTTGAAATTGTGACTTTGTATTGGTTCTGATTACCGCGTATTTACTTAATAGATTTCTATTATTTTGTTTCATTCCGCTAGTTTTATTTCGGATTACTCTAATGCTGTTGGTCGCGACTGGCCTTTACAACTTCGCCGGACAATAGGGAGCGCGTGCAGATGGCACTACAAACCTGCGGAAGGACTTATGGAGCAGCTGAAGGCCAACTCCCGCCCGGCGGATACGTTTAGTCTGAGGACACCGCTAGGGGTTCGTACCTCAGGTCAGGTCGTCGTAATTTTTACTAATGTTCAATATATATACTAACCCGTATGCCGCTGCGGATATTTCAGTAAGCTCGACGTTAAAGTCAGGGGCTCGCTGGACCCCTTCTTGTTGAACGCTCTCACGGACACCGCGAGAGCGTTGCTGGCGGCGAGACCCGACACTTCAAACTCTGGTTCATCGTTGCTCATATTGCGCAGGAGTAGGCTTGTTGTCATATCGAATACCTAATATATAAAATCTAATTAGTAATTATTACAATGATTTTTAAATATCCCACTTTTTGAAAGCCAACTCCCACCTAACACATACGACTATAGTCTGAAGGTCCGATAGGGATCCGATAGGGGTTCGAACCTTGGTTCATAGTAATTTCGATTCCCATTTTAATTGGACGGGAATAACTCCGCTACTATTAGCGTGTCTCACAGATCCTAATTGTAGCTAAACCACATACATTCAGTGCGGAAACCTAAACAACGTTACCGGATGCGATACGACCTTCCCCACTAGTGATCAAACATTGACCGTTTCTCTAAGACGTTAGGTATTGTTATTTATAAGTATATGTATGTGTGTGTAACCTCTTTGCTATATTGTATTATTTTAGTTTAAATAAAGAACATAGAACACTCGAATTTTAAATATATCATTATTAAAAGAATTATTGGATAAGTACAAATCATTTACAACTGTACAAAATATTTGTTTTATTTTCAAAGGATCGTACAAACACCTTTATTATTTTACTTTATTATACCTGTTTTGCCTCTAAATGAGGCATCATCAGTCATGAATTTCGATATAGTTTGGAAGACTAGTGTTGACTGTTCGGCGACCAGAATATGATTCACAGTAGCGGTATATAAGAATAAGAATATGCTCGCTATATATGGTTGAGTCCAATGATTGCTGGCTCATCCGTCATACTCGTGATCGGGTGCTGCCTGTGGGGACTGTCTCTTCAGGTTACGAAACTGATTACACTATTCGCTTTTGACAAAATTGCAATAATATATTATGCTGGTGGTCACCCTATTCTCCCAAATTTTAATTTAAAAATGAATCCTTATTATTATAAACATGTACATGTATTTGAGAAGAATACGAGTTGAGTTTCTTGTCAATTCTTCTCATCTCGAAATCATACTGAACTGACGGTAGATTTAACATATATGAATCACATGAATAAAGATATTTTGAATTTGAATATGTTTATGTGTAATAAACGTTAATAATTTCCTTTCAGCTGCGATCGAGTCGTTCCACGCACCGACTGGAGGCACTGTAGAGCTACCCTGTGACGTCACACCCGCCCTGCCAGACGACAAAATGGGCCTCGTAATATGGTACAAGCAGGGCCATGAAACACCAATATACTCGTAAGTTTCTTTTATGTATATAGTAACAACAATAATATCTCAGGACAATTCACACGGCGCATTGTTCATTTCTATATTATTCATTTCTAGTCCCAAGATAAGCAGAGCATGTGCTATAGGTACTAGACAACTAATATAAATACATGGATACATATTTTTTTGTAAATAAATACATATTATACATAGAAAACACCCAGACCGAAACAAATAATCATACTCATGAATACAAATGTTTGTACCGTGCGAGGAATCGAACCCGCGACCATCGCTTAGTTAAGCGGTATGCTAAACCACTGGACAATAAATGCACAAATAAAATAGACCTGACGAGTCTGTGTCGACAGTTTTTGACAATTGAACTTTAATGTTCAAACTTATAATGTAAATTAATTATGGTCGAATTTCCACCATTGAGCGACTACTATTTACTGTAAGAATGAATGTACTTAGTAAGTAAGTAATATAAGGATTGATTATTATAATGCCAGGTTCTTGGTAGGGTCGTCATATAAGGGTGGTGCTTGTTAGGAAAATGATAGATACAAAGTTTGTGTGTATACTGTCTCGTTTATTATAATAAACAATCCTTATATACTTCCTTACTAAGTACATTCATTCTTACATTACTATAGTTGTGTGCAATTCCATATATCTTTAGTTACTGAGTTCAGCCTCTTAAAAGATGAACAAAATTACCCACGCCAATGACCTGGACGATCGACAGGTGATGCGTAATGGAACCCATTCACTCTTTGATACGAAGCCGATCTCAATCCGCTCACAGACTTGTTTGATCCGCGTCAATGATCAATTGAAAACGCACTCGAGATATTGGGTTGGGCTTGGGCATAATCTAATTTGGACTTAGGGTTCAACTATTCTCGTTTTATGTAATTTGGGTTCCGTATTATTTTGTGATAAAGAAATCATAACATATATATGTGCCCGCGGATTTACCCGGGTTAAATTTTAATATAAAATATAGCCTATGTGTTATTCTGATGTATAAGCTATATTACTGTAAAGTTTCATTAAAAAGTTGAGTAGTTTTTTGCGTGAAAGAGTAACAAACATCCATACTTACAAACTTCCGTGTTTATAATATTATTAAGATGATGTTTAAATTAAAATAAATTTAAACATCTGTTAAATCATATTTATTAAGCAAAGTCTACTTTAAACGATAACTTAAATGACAAACGTGCTCGGCTCTAATTGTTCATGCACGGAATTTTCATTTAATGATAGATGCCTATATACGTAAAAAAAATTAATCCAAACTAGCTTTTATAAAAAAGAAATTCAGTTCAGTTTCTTGCCAGTTCTTCTCAATTGAATCTGTATACTGAACTGGACGTTAGGGAATAAAATTATAATAAAACTTGACGTTCATAAGTGGCTAAAAGGACATTTTAAAGGACATGTATAAAGGATTTTTGATTTGATTTGATTATGTAATTAGAATGTAAACAATCAGTCCCATTTCTTTATTTATTTACTTTATATGACTTATATTTCAGTTTTTAGCAATTGTTTGAGCGACTACATTCTTAAGTACTCTTCGTTACAGTATTTCTCCGTAAAATAATAAATACTGAAAGTTTTGAATGGGTTACAAGATTCAAAACGTATTTCTATACTCATCTACTTTTTTAGGATACAAATTTAACTAACGAGGAGGTATTGTTAAAGGTACTAGGACAGTTCTCATTACGATTTATTAATCTACGAATATAGAAACCTAACTTCCTTAAATACATAGATAGGTACCGGATATGTGATTGTGAGATTCTGCCACCTAAGTTTCGGGAATCACAGGCTAATGCAAACAGCCATATTATAGGATGACGTTTGTATTTCTCGGGAATCGAACCCACAGTCATCTGAATGTAAAAATATCACTACACTGGGCAGTATGCATACTTAATATAAGTAATTTACATAACAGCTGATGCGTTATAGGTATCGGACTTCACCTGTTTAGACAGCTCTCAATTAAGGCACAAGAGTGCGAGCGAGACAGTACAATGTACCGCTCTATCCTACTCAATCCCGGATTGACCTAATTTGACGTAACAAACGTGCCGCTTATGAATTAAAGCTGCTTAAATCCTTGGCTGGCTAGCGCATGTTTCCATTACCGGCTGACATGCTAGAGATACTAGACGGACGGACAGTAAAGTTTAGTTATATCTGTACATCTATAAATAGAAAGTCGTGAAGTTGAGACCGTCAACAAGTGGTATAGCGGTTTACACATTTTCACATTGATTGGACTTCCGATGGTTACGGGTTCGATTCGTCGCAAGGTGCAAGCGTTTTTATTCATGCGTATGATTGTTTGTTTCGGTCTGGGTATTCTTTATGTTTTTTATGTATATTTACAAAAAAAATGTATCTTAAGTATTTACATCAGTTGTCTAGTACTTACAGCACAAGTTCTGCTTAACTTGGGACTAAATTACAGTGATTATAGAGCAGCTCTACGCCTGCCCCAGACTATCTGTCCTGGGTTATTATTGTGGAGTTTATAGAGGAAATATATAATCTCTACTTGTAAAATTGTCTTAGCTACTAAAAAACTATAAAATCTACAAAACTTAGTTGCCCAATTACTCAGGTTGACTCACAACAAAACACTCAGATCGACATCTATGTCATCCCCTTTGTACACTGTGATTCATTCTTGGTGAATTCGTCTATATAAGCTAAATTACCTGATTTCGTCAGGTAGGTAGGCTCAGGATGAGCATGAAATCAGGTAATTTAGCTATCATCCTTCCCTGGTGCCCCGCCAACGTATACCGTTAGAGCAGGCGCGTGCACTATTTATGCATTCATAAAATCATTGCGCGCGCACGGACTCTCCACACCGGCGTCTCCAGTCGCCTCTCCGATCGATCTGTACAATCCAAATCAAACGGAGATTGAAATTACAACGGCCTGAGCCAAGGTTCGAACCCCTAGCGGTGCCCTCAGACTACAGTCGTATCCGTTAGGCGGGAGTTAGCCATCCGCAGGTTTGGAGTGCCATCTGCACTCTCCCCCTATGGTTCGGTGAAGCTGTAAAGGCCAGTTGCGGCCAACAGCAATACAGTAGTCCGTGAAAAAACCTTCATCATTGGTGGAAGCCGGAGTGTAATTGTAGTACAAAATAAAAATGTCCAGACATATAGCGGTGTGATGAGCCGGGTCATCCCTAAAATATGGTCGAGTGCAATGATGGCTGGCTCATCTGTCATACTCGTGAACGAGTGCTGTTTGTAGGGACTGTTCTGCTCTTATCACTACGACTGATATAATCTTATTATATATTTATATTTGACCAAAATAAATTAGTGCTGGTTGGTAGTTTGTATTCACACGTTTCGACTTTGTAACTGTAAACTTACAAGGATTATTTAAAAGTGCAACACACAAGTTTCTTGTTAGTTCTTCTTGTGATGAGACAGCTTTACGAATGAGCGGTAGATTAAAAAAAATATTATGACTATTCAAAAGTGCTTAAATTAAGTTTATTTGAATAAATTATTTTCTATTCTATTCTATTCTATTCATAATTTAAGAGCTTCGCTCTAGTCGGTGGCGCTCTTGCCACTTTCCGCGATCTTCCATCAAATTCTATTATACTAATATATGTTCTAATATATTTCTTAAAACAATTTTAGTGAGAACAGTACAGGAATCAAATACAAAAGTTTTTAATGGTTATAACACTTTAAGCGAAACGCACACAAAAGGCTATACAGCGCCATAAAGAACTTTCCTCATAAAAACCACTATGTAATTTAGTTATTACATGAAACGACTGAAACTTGTCGCTATACTTGTTTACTTTTTAATTTTGCAGTTACGCAGAAAGGTTTTTTTCTACTGATATTTTTAGATAACACACATGATGGTGGATGTCCGATGATTGCTTTACGTTTAATGGTCGCGGATTCGATTCTTCGCACAGTAAAAATAATTGTATTGATGTGTAAGATTATTTGTGTAGGTCTGCGTGTTTTTTATAATATGTATGTATTTACAAAAAGAAATATGTAATCGAAAACATAAGCTCAGCTCAGCTCTGCTCAGCTTGGGGCTAGATGGCGCTGTGAAAAGTGTTCTTAGATATTATTATTAGATATATAAATAAACTTACGACCGACAGATATACATACAGACGACTTTTCACAGTCTAAATGTTTTAGATTACAATACTAATATTTTCTAGCCTTTATTAACGTTGGATAACAATGTCGGTTAGTTGTTAATTAAAATAAATATATTAATATGTAAATACGATACGTTTTCAAACGTGTACCAGTATAATTACTCTTAACACATGATACAGACTACAGAGGAGAGATTCCGCCCGCGGGCAGTTTCAGTACACGCGTTACTTCGAAAACAAGGCGCGGTGTACTGTTACGTCTTCATTCAGCTATCCAAAATTGCGACGTTTGTGTTCGGAAATTTCTAGAATATTCAATAATGAAACCATTTAAATATTAAATAAATAATCCTGGATAATTCACACAGCGCCATCTAGATCCAAGATAAGCTAGCTAAACCTTGTGTTATGGGTGGTAGATAACTGATACAAATACTTAGATAGACTATTTTTGTAAATACATACATAATATACATAGAAAACCACCAGACTGATTAAAACAATCATACAAATGTTTGTGCCGTGAGAGGAATCGAACCCGAAGGAATCGACTATCCGAAGTAATGCGGTGTGCCGTTGTTCTTAATTTTACTTAATAGTACCTACTGTTATACAAGTCTGTGATTGGTAGGTTTCTGTCTTCAAATTAAATTAAAAATCGTTCATTCATGTAAGACATTTTAGCCGCTTAGGAAGTTTAAGTTTTTTTGTATTAATATATTTTCCCTACCGTCCAGTTCAATATACAGATTAAATTTAAAAGAACTGGAAAAAACTCAATTGAATTTCTTTTTTTTCTTTAAAAGCCAGTTTAATCTTTTCAATTCTTTCTTTCTTAATTCAAATGAGAAACAAACTCATTATCGCTCAACTCAAATCACCACCTATGATAAATTTATTTCTATCTCTAACGTAATAAAGAATTTTGTAACAAAACAAGAAACTGCGAAATGCAAGCGAGTAAAGCCGAATGTAACAACTGGTATATCGATAAATGGAGACATTATCAGTCAATTTTAATGTCATATTTACGTCGGTATCCATCGGACATGATCCTTACCTGACACGTGGAGATATCATCTGAACATGCCGTCGACCACGCGGCTGTCACTCGTAAAAGGTATTATTTTTTATTGATACTCAGCCCGTCGTGATGAAGAGATTCAGTTACGGACGGCGGCTGTATTGATGTAAACGACAAACATACAAGTCAGGCATTATGCAAATTAATAGTATTAATATAATTGAAATTTTGTTTTATATGTTACTAGCTGTGCCCGCGATTTCTTCCGCGTTGAAAATCTTTACCAAATAAAAAAAAATTCATTATCTAACCCAAAAAGGCCAATAAAAAAAGTTTCATCGTTCTAGCCTTAAAAATGATGACTTTCCATACAAACTTTCATCCCCTATTTTATTTTACCCCTTAAGAGTAAATTTTTTACAAACTTTGAATGTCATATTTATTTATATTTAATCAACAGCGAAAACTTAAGTTTTAAACTTCTAGTTTTAAAAATTACCATACTTCCATAAAACTTTTCATCCCCCTTTTCAACCATATATATTCATAAATATTCATATCATATGAATAACGTTCATCAATAGATCAACAACCTAAAATATAAGTTTCAACCTTCTAGCTTTAAAAATGATGATACTTTGCATTCAACCTTTCATTTCCTCTTTTTTCGCATTCAAAATGCCTAAATCCAAAAAGCCTATGTCCTAGCTCAGCATCAAGCCTTGCTATATACTAAATTTCATATAAGTCGGTTCAGTAGTTTTAACGTGAAAGACAAAGACAGACAGACAAAGTTACTTTCGCATTTATAATATTAGTAAGGATTGATATTTTTAGATAACACACATGATGGTAGATGGTAACTGTCACTCAAATACATTAACAGCACCTCACACAAAATGTTATCAAAAGATGCCTATGTTGTCATGTGTTGACATGCCATTCCGGAGCAATAAGACGTCATGCTTCTTATGCTGTAAAATCACTACTTTATCTCAACTCAATCTCAATAGCTTACACAGCAAGCTATTTAGCGGTTGAATATGTGACGTAACAATAAATAAAATATAACTAAAAAAATATTTACAATATCGCTTAAAGCAATCTGGGAGTAGGTCTCCTACGAGTAGATTGCTTTATCTTCTTATTCCTGCGGCCTCATTATTATTGTTACTAAATAATAAACTTTAATTCTACTCCAAAAGGTTTAATTTCATCAAATACTTGTACATTAAAACAATCGTAGCATGCACAAGTTGTGGGGCGCGGGAATTAAACACGATAATACACTTACGTTTTTACTTGACAAGAAAAACTTTACAATTTTGTACAAGTTTGCAATAATAAATACTCGCAGGTACGCCTATAACTTTAGTCGTCCAGTAACCAAACTACATGTAACTCGTTTGTAACCACGACATGCAATTTTATGGTAACGTCGGTTAAAGTACATGGCTATATTCTTTTTTTTTATAATTGGAAAGGTAAACAAGCCAAGGCTGACCTGATAAAAAATTGTAACCGATGCCTATAGTCACCAATTCAACTCCACGCCCTGCACCTATGTGGTCTCGAACAGTGCGGTTTCAGAGGAGTTTTTTTGTACTAAGATGGTAGCAAACAAACATACGGCACAACTGATGGGAAAGGGTTACCGGCTATGGACGCCTAAAATACCAGGGGTGTCACGAGGCATACCCACACGAGTATCACCTATCTTTTATTGAACTAAATTTTGGAAAAACCTACTTGCCGAGGTTCTCTCATAAAAGAAATGAAACTTACCTAGAAAGAAACATACCGAGATTATCTAGAAACTACAGCATAGTAGTAGTTTTCAAAGACTGCATTATTTTTTTAATAAAATATTCCATCACACACAGCGATCACTTACAATTTCATTATATGTATATAAAGTGTATGCAGAAATAGAACCCATAATAACGCATTCCCATTTTGTAGAAGGTGTATAAGGTTTTAATTTTGCGAGTGTATAATTTATATAAGCCTATTTTAGTAATAGGCTTATTGGCTCAGTAAGCGTTGCGGTTTAACATAATAAAAACAAGATGGCGGTCTGTTTGAAAGTGTTGTAAAAAATTATAAAAAAAAATTGTACTCGTTATTAGAATTATCATAAGAAATTTATGTGAATTTGCATATTCTGTGCAATCTAAACTTGTAGAAATGTTTATTTTATGTATCTGTATTTTTAAACAAGCTAATAGCTAACTTCTATAAGAACTTTAATTAGAAAATATTTAAAAAAGTTACTATTTAACAAACAGTATTGTACTTACTATAAGCGATATTTAAGTCGTATTCGTTAGTTTTTATGTAATGTTTAATGAATGTCATATTATAATAGATATATGTATGAATAATATTAAATTGAATGTTATAATTAATTATAATAATAATTATGTTTTGTTTGCGTACCGTAACACGGTCCATATGGATCTAAATTTACCATTTATGAACATCTTTCATTGTAAAATTATGGAATGCAATAAATATTGAGTATTGAAGGAAAGTGACTTTATAATAATCAATGCAGCAACACTGGTCGACCAAGTTAATTCAATTTGTAAAATACATAGTTATAAAATATTAGAGCAAAAATGGACCATAATTTTAGAAGTAACATGATACATATTTCTTATACTCTTATGATTTGTATCATGAGAGTACAGACATGCAATACTTTATAATAAGCAGTCAGTTGCTTGGCGACTGAAATAGGTGAGGATGGATGCCAATTCCGTAATTACGTAATTAATATCCAAACATCCATACAAACTTTCATGTTTACAATATAAATGAGATTAAAAAATTCATCGTTTGTCCACAGATTCGACACCCGGGAAGAGATGTCACATTACTCAGACCCATCCATATTGGGTACAAGAGCCAGCTTCCGCAGCGAAACGAGACCTGCTGTGCTAGTTCTCACCAAATTAAGGTATATATATTTTTTATGCAAAATAACTGTGTTACTTATAATAATAAAAAAATCTATTTCGTATTCTAATAATTAGAACAAATAACATATGTAGCAAAAAATATAATGGAGGGTACAAAATAAAGTTATATATTATATTTTTTTAAAAACACAAGTTTCTTGTGATGAGAATGCTTTCCGAATGAGCGGTAGATTAAAAGAAGAGTAACTATGACTATTCAAAAGTGATTAAATTAAGTTTATTTGAATAAAGCATTTTCTATTCTATTCTAATATATACACATTCTATTCTATTCTATTCTATTCTATTCTATTCTATTCTATTCATGTTTTTGTCAAATACAATATACACAATACAAATATATTTGTAATGTTTTTTAATTTAATATAATTTTTTTGTATAATTAATTTAAATATTGACATATTGCACTTTTCTATATATTACATAGTATAAAATAAAGTCGCTGTCTGCCCGTACCAATGTATGCTTAAACCTTTAAAACAACGCAACGGATTTTGTAGCGGTTTTTTTATTAGATAGAATGATTCTAGAGGTAGGTTTTTATATATAATACATATACACCCGGGCGAAGCCGGAGTGAGTAGCTAGTAAACTATAAATGTGAGAAATTTCATATTTCTCCGTCCACGCAATATTCATAAGGGGGGATACAAAGTTTTTGCTCACATATTAATATATATGTTCTTAATGTAAAACTACCTGTGTAACCTTATACGTGGGGAACAACTACGTAGCCGTTTACAACCCTTCCAACAATATTGAATTGAAACGGTATATTATTCTGTATATTTGCATTTACCTCAACACTGTCTTAACATCCGACATTGTTATCTTTGAAGGATCTAAATATACATAATTAATGAACTAGGATACCATTACGTTCTAATTGTATAACGGTATTTCATAGGGACGACATTCGATAGGGACAACGGCCAATATGGGACATTGGGACAAACTCGCAACACATATCAAGCTCATTATTGTTAACTTTCGACTTTTCATTTTTATTCGTTCTCAAGTTCCTGACGAGGTAAAAATTGCCCATTTCTCTGATTTTTTTAATGATTACATATTGGCCGATGACGGTTTAGGTGGTCTATGATCTATCATCGCATGATAACGTGATATATGTATATATTTATCACCATCACCTATATATATATACACACACACTAGCTGTGCCCGTGGTTTCTCCCGCGTGACATTTATAGCCTATTCTGATGTATACTATAATACTATAAAGTTTCATAAAAATACGTTCAGTAGTTTTTGCATGAAAGAGTAACACACATCCATCCATACTCACAAACTTTCGTTTATAATATTAATAAGATATGTCTGGGGGGAAATTTGTTAGTAATGTGGACTGTTCATTGTGTTTAATAAATATAGTCAATAAAAAGTCCAAAAGTTTTTATACAATCACTATTATTTCTTGGAGTATTTGTCAAGTTAGCTCATGCTAACTCACCTGACATGAAGTCCGGTTTCAGGTTCAGCTGTTTATATCTTAATAATATTATAAACACGATAGTTTGTGGGTATGGATGTTTGTTAATCTTTCACGCAAAAACTACTAAACGAATTTTGATAAAACTGTACAGTAATGTAACTTATGCATCAAAATAACACATAGGCTATATTTTTTATTGAAATTTAACGCGGACGAAACCGCGGGTATAGCTAGTATTTATATAAACACAACATACATATGTATATATAGGTGGTATAGTATAGCCCATCTAATATATATAAGAAGGTTAGCCGGCAGCTTGTTTGCTATTCTAATTTAATTAAAACAAATTGCCTTGTCCCATTAATAATTGCCTGTCCCAATTTAGGCTTTGTCCCGCTCTATTCTCGGAACGACAGTCACTAATGCTCATATTAAAGGGATTAGACAGCACACGCCTTTACAAATAATTCATATTCAATATTTCCCTCGTTTTACCGATTTACCGATTCATTATTAATTTGCGTGTTATGGGGATATTGTGTGATGGGATGTGTAGAACCGATTTTCCGACAAATTGTGATTTATTTCTCCAAACCCATTATACGAAACAACGTGATGTAGCGTGTGTTGTACGGTATATGTCATAAGCTGATGACGATTTTAAATATTTGCTTTTTTGTTCTGTTTTTCTCATATAAAGTTGTTAGATTGTTTTCAGAACTAAAATTGATGTATATTCATTTATGTATGATATGTCCTTTTTCTAATAACAGTAATAATAACAATTTAGAACATTTCTTACAATGCTATTTTGTTCCAAACAAAGTAGATCTTGTACTACAACATATCATGCTTAATTTTTTTCCTAAAAATGGTAAATGTCTAGCCTAATAAAAACAGTTGCACTAATAAATACAAGTGTTTAATTATTATATACATACACTAACTAATTGATACTTATTAATTTGACATGACAGATTCTGATGAAGAGTGTGATTTATCTAATATTATTAAAGTTGAGTTTGTGAGTATGGATGGATAGATGGATCAAGGGATGTTTGTTACTCTTTCACACAATAACTACTGAACGGATTTTGATAAAACTTTACAGTTACATATATAATACATAGGCTATAAATTTCATGTGGGTAAAAACGCGGGCAAAGTTAGATTTAAATATATTATTCTAGCTGCTATAATTAATCATACATTATTCCTCTAAATCACTTTTCAGGCAAAATTAAAATATTAGTTATATATGAATTTGTATATATCTTATTAAAATTTAATTTTGTAAGCTATCTCATGAGAAAACATGTAATATTTTAAGGTAATTATTATTTTTTATACAACAGAATAGTTCTTTCTTTTTCTTACTTTCCGCTGCCTTCGTTTATTAGCCAAACGGCCATTCTCTCATTACTTACACATGCAACTCCCTAAACAATTTTAAAAAGCAATCGATTCTCAACATTTGCGGGTGACGCTCATCAAAAAGAGATTTCCTTTTGTTTCGACAAAAAGGGTTTATCTTTTCGTCTAGGATTTTTTTAACAGCAATCCCACGCAGTAATTCGATATATATGAAAAAGACAAAGTAAAAGGAATGTAATGTATTGAAACGTCAGGCAATATTTGATTTCACGATTTAGATTCCGTATTATTATTTTGTAGATGAAAGAAAGATGTTTTACTTTGAACAGATTGGGATTGAAGCGTGTTGTTTTGTCTAAATTCATAATAGACACCATAATTATGTGTACCTATTGTATTTTGTTTTCTTTTATCTTGCCTGTTTTGTACTAGAAGGTATAAGCTACTTCACACGTTTACGTAACAAGACTGGTGTTTGAGGATTTTTTTTTTCGGATTACTGTAATGCTGTTGGCCAGAGCTGGCCTTTACAGCTTCACCGGACGATAGGGGGCAAGTGCAGGTGGCACTCCAAACCCGCGGAAGGACTTATGGAGCGGCTAAAGGCCAACTCCCGCCTGACGGATACGACTTTAGTCTGAGAGCACCGCTAGGGGTTCGAACCTCGGCACAGGCCGTCGTAATATCGGTCCCCGTTTGAATTGGACGGGGGATCGATTGGAGGGGGTGTTTGAGGAATATGGTTGATGACTTATAGACTAGACTATATGAACGATTTACTGTATGAGGAGTCATGACTCATTAAGAGAGAAATTCAAAGGTACAAATATTCTCACCGTTGCTTCGCAATTTATATACTCAAATATTCTATATGTACTCAAAAATCTTCACTTATTTCCAATAAACAGCAATATTTATAATATTAATACTAGATTTAAAGACAAACTTGTTGTTCCTAAGTAACCTTTAAAGATAATCGATCTTTCATGTGTGTACAATCCAACACACAGTGTCCTCAATATTGTATATATATATATGTATATATACACAATTCATAGGTCGCTGGTTTAAAACAACTAGCGATGTTGGATTGTTGAACTAAAAAAGGCGGTTTATTTTTTACATATCGCCGTCAATTTTTACACAGCACTATTTTTAAAAAAGTTTGTATTACGGCTAAATCTAATTATATTAATAAACAAATTAACCAGTCTTCTGACAAAATTAAAACCATATGGGGCATTATAAATAAAGAAACCGGAAGATCTAAATTAGCCTATAATCAATTTGCATTAAATTATGATAATAAATTAATAACAGCAACAAAAGATGTAGTTAATGTTTTTGAAGATTTTTTTGCTAATATTCCGATTAATATTACATCTTCTCTGGACTCATCTCCATCTCGAGCAAAAATATTACTAGAGTCTAATATCGGTTGTTGTGCTTTAAGATTTAAATTTTCACATGTTAGCCCCGTTCATATCATAAAAATATTTAAACATCTAAATTTAAAAAATACAGAAGACCTTTGGGGCATGTCTGTAAAAGTAGTTAGTTCTTTCATAGATATTGTTGCTCCATATCTAGCTACTATTTTTAATAAATGTATTGATAATGGGACTTTTCCACAATTAATGAAATTTAGCAAATTAATCCCACTATTTAAATCAGGAGATAAATTTGAGCCAGGGAACTATAGACCTATATCTATTTTGCCAGTTCTAAGTAAGGTGTTTGAAAAGATAATGTTAAATCAAATGTTACAACACTTCAGGGATAACCGACTGCTTCACAGTCAACAATATGGTTTCACCGCCGGCAAGTCTACCACTGACGCAGGTGTAGCGCTGATAACACATATTTTCCAATCATGGGAGAAGTCACAGGATGCACTCGGAGTTTTTTGTGACCTATCAAAGGCATTTGATTGCGTGGATCATAAAACACTTTTGTACAAGCTCGAACATTATGGTATAAAAGATAATGATCTAAAATTAATGAGAACTTATTTAGAGGATAGGGTCCAAACTGTAGATATTGACGGTATAAAATCTAAGGGAGCTAATATTGGGATGGGCGTTCCACAAGGGTCAATCTTAGGCCCCTTTCTCTTTTTAATTTACATAAATGACCTTCCCTTTATGGTAGAGAAAATTGCAGATATAGTGCTGTTTGCGGATGATACTTCGTTAGTGTTTAAAATTGGACGTCAAACTAATCAATTAGACGATGTAAATTGTGCTATGTCTGCTAAATTAAATTGGTTTACATGTAATAACCTATTATTAAATTCCAGCAAAACAAAGTGTATAAAATTTACACTTCCTAATGTAAGACCAATAAATACACAGTTATTGCTTAATGACGAAATAGTAAATTTTGTTAATGATACAGTTTTTTTAGGTATAACAGTGGACTCGAAATTACAATGGGGGCCCCATATTTCAAAATTGGCCAATAGACTCAGTTCAGCTGCATATGCAATTAGAAGAATTAGGCAATTAACAGACGTGGCGACGGCTAAACTTGTATACTTTAGTTATTTCCATAGCATTATGTCATATGGTATACTACTGTGGGGTAAAGCAGCCGATATAAATACTATATTTATTTTACAAAAGAGAGCCATACGTTCTATTTATGGTATGGGTTCAAGAGAGTCATTACGTCAGTGTTTTAAAGACTCAAATATCCTCACCGTTACTTCACAATACATTTATGAGAATATCATGTATACGCGGAAGAATTTAGACAGTTTTAGAAAACTTAAAGACTGTACAAATAGAAACTTACGCAATAAAAATAAGCTAATTTTACCTAAATGCCGCCTGCACAAAGTCAGTAATTCATTCTATGGTAATTGCGTAAGATTTTATAATAAACTGCCAGAATCTGCACTAAATCTGACAGAGAGGCAATTCAAATCTTATATTAAACAATTTTTATGTAAGAAAGCCTATTACAGGATAGACGAATTCATAGAAGACAACATATCAAGTAAATAATTAGTTTATTAGCATACAACGTTATAATTTGTTTATCTCATTGCTTTCTTGATTCAATTATTTTAGAAATATGAAAGCGTAGCGGGTTTTGTATTAATTGCCGCATGCATTCTTACGTGAAATGTGAATACTATAAACATCAGATGGCAATTGTGAGTAGCTATGACGTGGTCTGGTGTTTTGAGTAGTCATGCTCACTAAAATGTCCAGACTTGTGGCGGCGTGGTGGGCCGGGTCATTGGGCTCCCTAAAATATGGTCGAGCGCAGTGATGGCTGGCTCATCCGTCATACTCGTGAACGGGTGCTGCTTGTAGGGACTGGTCTGCTCTAATCACTATGACTGATTTCCTCTTATTAATTGTTTAACCAGTTGGTTATGTATTCAATATTTTTTTCTTTTTGAGTATTTAATTGAATTAGTGCTAATCGGTGGTTTGTATTCACACACTTAAACTTAAATTGTAAGTAAGAATAAATTATTTAAAAGAGCAACACACAAGTTTCTTGCTTGTTCTTCTTGTGATGAGACAGCATTCCGAATGAGCGGTAGATTAAAAAAAAAAAAAATGTTATGACTATTCAAAAGTGCTTCAATGTAAGTTTATTTGAATAAATGATTTTCTATTCTATTCTATTCTATTCTATCTATCTTCTGATTTCATGATTTGATATTTTTTTCAGACCAGAAGACAGTGGTCAGTACAGATGCAGAGTGGACTTCTTAAAATCTCCAACGAAGAATACGAGACTGAATCTTACTGTGCTTAGTAAGTATCTTATATCATATATTTCTTCTGTATGTATGTAGGTCTGTGGTAATTAATGTTTATGGCCTTAAACAAATATTCAGTGCTGAAATCTGACCACGCCTAATAATATCAGGATTAATTAAAAACAACCATTAAATAAGGTTATTATTTAGTGTCATTAACCTATATAAAATAAACTTAACATCATGAACTTCAAATGGTTGATTTCTCTGAAAGATCTTCAGTGATGCGCTACAGCAAAAACTGAGTGGAAGCCAGTTTAGCCTATAGTAAGAGACAAGTGTGAATGATGAAAGAATATTATATCAGGACAGAAGCCAAAGGCATTGGGGTCTTTCTACCTTCCCCGTAAGAAATCTGGAATAATATCCCGTGAGTCAGAAGCAGTTCAATATGACTAATTGCCTACCGGTTGAAAACTTCTCTAATGGTTAAGGTACTTGTAGCCAATAACCGTACAAGAAAACCGGAAGCAAATTGTGTGCAGCTCTGTTGCCAAGGAGGACAACCAATAGATACCATAATGAAAGGCGCGACCACTCTATCAAGAGTGAAGGAATAAAGAAGAGAGAGTAATGAAATGCGGTTCCAACGGTAGGTTGAAAACAGGAACTGCACAATTTTTTTTCAAATTTGTTAATAAAATAGACCTTTTAACCATAGTTTTAGAGTTCGTGTCCGCTTAAAAGATGGTGTTATACAAAATGTTTATTTAAATTAAAAAAAAATACCTTTAACTGATACAAATACATAGATATTTTTTTTTCGTAAATACATACATAGATAACACTCAGACCTACACAAACAATCATACTCACGAATACAAATGTTTGTGCCGTGCGAATAATCGAACCATCGGTCGTAAGGCAGTATGCTAAACCACTAGACCATCTAGGCCTTGCCTTACCACCGAGGCCGTAATTAAAAACAAAATAAACTTTTTTAATTCTACAATTCCATCTATAAATTTAAACACTGTAAATATTGCATACATCCGGATATACGTCCGATAAACATTCGGAAGTAGGGTAAAAAGAACTAAATTCGTTACACAGAGATGCTGTTAGTACGCTCCAACGATTAAAGAACTGAAACTGAAACGCTACAGGAAGCCAAGTTCTATTTGAACTTCTTTTGTAGCTGCAGAAATAAAACATCCGACGGATATATGTTTCTTTATGTATATGGTTGCATGCTAAACTGAACGTAAAACGAATTGTCTCTGCCAATGAACGTGATGAGGGTAACAAAGAATTAACTAAAGCTACTAAAATATATACTGACGGCTTCGCTGGACTAGTGGTTAAGCGCACCGCTTAACTTCCGTCCGCAGGTTCGATTCCTCGCACGGTACAACTCTCGCACGTCTCTATCATGAGTGACGGCCTCGGTGGTATAGTGGTAAAGGATACCGCTTTTCTTCCGATGTTCGTGGGTTCGATTCCACGCACGGCACAAACATTTATATTCATGAGTATGATTCTGGGTCTGGGTGTTTTCTATGTATAATATGTATGTATTTACGAAAAAAAAATCTATGTACTTGTATCAGTTATTTAATACCCATAACACAAGCTTTAGCTAGCTTAACTTAGGTCTAGATGGCGCTGTGAATTATCCTAGGTTATATGGGTTATTATATTTCTTTCGTATATATAATCAGTTGAAAAGATAAAGTAAGAAATGAAGAAGTATTGCACAGGGTGAAAGAAAAAAGGCAGATATTGAATGCTATACTAAATTGACGAGGAAAAATGTTAGGACACTTGATACGGCACGATGAATTTATGAAAGTTATTATTGAAAGAAAGATAAAAGGAAAGAAGGGAGAGAGGAAGACCAAAGGAAAGCTATCCAGCAAAGGAAAGAAAGAATTGGAGGCGTGTCGTATCAAGATTTAAAGAGTATGATGGAAGATCGTGGAAAGTAGCAAGAGCTTCACCGACTAGAGCATCACTCTTAAATTATGAATGAATGATTGAATGAATGAATATTATTTTGTATATATTGTTGTCCAGTACCCATAATACAACCTCTGCTTAACTTGAGTCTAGTTGGTTGTGTGTATTGTCCAAAGATATTATTATTGCTATTATTAAAGCATAAAATAATTTCTCTGAACAATGTTTAATATTGAGTGCATTATTTATTACATTTTGCTGATGACACATGAGAAGTCGTGACACCTGAAAATTAATTAAATTTTAAGTTTTCGATTAAAAATATAATTTTTTTACAATAATTAACCAATAAGAATAACCCTAGATAATCACAGCGCCATCTAGTGAGCTAAGCAGACCTTGTCTTACGGTTACTAGACAATTGATATATACACTTAATATACATAGAAAACACCTAGTCCAATACAAACAAACATACTCACGAATACAAATGTTAGTACCTTACGAGGAATCGAACCCGCAACCCGAAGCAAAGCGTTGTGCTGCAATACTGGATCATCGAAATCATTCAATTTGCATACATATTTATGAAATAGTAGTGCAAAAATAGTCCTAATTTTTAGAAATAATAGGATATAATATCTCTTTTACTCTCATGATTCTGTACAAACACGCAATAGCGAGTAATTTATGACTCTTTGTACGCCATATTGTAAATATAACTCATATTTCACGAATTTAAACAGGTTTTAAAGTCAAAAGCAATTAATTAACAATTGTAAATTAAACGCTTGAATATATTAAATAGCTATAAGCGTACTGTTTTAAATTTGACGCGGACATTATTTGTACATGTAATTAGTAAAAATCGCGGGGTCTTATCACGTTTTATTTTTATTGAGTTCCCGATATTTCGGCAATGTTTCATCCGCCATGGTGATCATGGCTGTTGAAACTGAAGAGCAGCGGGTAGATGGTAGATAAAATCTTATTTATGATCATGGTGGTTGATTCACAATCTGAGTAATTATTGAGTCGAAATAAAGATCTCTCTTTTGAAAAACCACGGCTACAAATCATCATCTGTTTCTTCCTTATCCCATTCATTTGTATGTTTTTCCTTCCATTCATCTCTGTTCGTAGTAATCTCATTATTTACTCCCTTTCTTACCTTATTATCCTTTACACAGTCCATCCATCTCTTTTTTGGACTTCATCTGCCCTTATAACCAATCACACTCATTAACCATATATGAAAAAATCTTCGTTCGGGGTTCGATTCCTCACGCGATTCAAACATTTTTTATTCGTGAGTTTGATTATTTATAGTGGTCTAGGTGTTTTCTATGTATACTATACAAGTATTTACTTAAAAATATGTATTTAAGTATTCATATTTGTTGTCTAGTACCCACAACTTAACCCTACTTAGTTTGGGACTAGATGGAGCTATGTTATTAGTATTATTATTATATAAAAATATTATCAAATAATAATGTTGAAAATCCATGCAAACTTAAGGAAAATATTGCGAATACAGCTGAACTACGTAAGTTTTTAGAAGTTGGTAGATAATGGCAAATTTTGAAATCCCTAATCACTCCAGATAGGTTTAGTTTTTGTACGAAACTGATAAGATACAATAAAAGAACTAAAAAGGTCGCTAATCCAATAACTTTCGTAGGAATAAGGAAGAGGCAAGCATACGGCTTAGTGGTTCCCCCTTGATTTATGGTGACATTCGATCACTATCTTTTACTGTGGTCATGGATTCACGTCGCTAACTTTACGATTGTTACGAACTGAAATGGGGCCAAATATAAATAGAAATCTTTATATACATACCTACTGTTACCCGCGATTTTGTCTGCTTTTTTGAGATAACGATATTTTATTTTTGTGATATAATATATAATTATATATACTTACTATATATGTATATACTTACAAAAAAAATGTCTAGGTTTTTATGTCAAATGTCTAGTAGCCATAACACAGGCTCTGCTTATCTTGGGATTAGGTGACGTTGTGTGAATTCTCTTGGGGTATTATTATATTGTCCAGGGATTTTCTTATTGTCACTGTACATTTACGTATGTATATATAGATTGCATGTAATTGTATATATCAGTGTTTATATTTTCTACAGAGTATAATGTATATTAATTACTAACATTTATTTTTTCTCTATCTACACAACAGTTTTTACTACATGCATATGAATAGAAAATGTTTGTATGCCTGTTTGTTCTGGCTAATCTCTGAAATGGCTGGACCGATTTTGACGTGACTTTTTTTGGCAGGTAGCTGATGTAATAAGGCGTAACTTAGGCTACTTTTATTTTAGAAAAATACAATTAAATTCGACGCGAACGAAGTCGACGGGTACAGTTAGTATATTTATATAGATCTATAATTATATAATGTACAATATTATTCATGCGTCATCAACCACTTTTTGTCATTTTTATCTACCCAAAATAAAGGTTTTATTAAAAAGCCATTTCAGTTGTAAAATATATACATTATATATCTCTCATGATAATTCTAAAGAATGAACTTTCACTCTTATTCGTCTTCATCTAAGGTTGCTTGGAAGAGATCGATATTTAGGAAATTTTTGCCTCCGTATTTTGTGTTTTTTTATATTTATTATACATATTAATTTGTGTAATTGTTATTTCCTCTATGTGAGAGGAACAATAAAGTGTTTTTCATTTCATTTCTTTTTACGACGACTAATTATGAGTTTCCTTTACAGTACCACCAGAAAGACTGATCATCCTCGATCACTCCGGCAAGGAGATCAGGAATGGCATCCTGGGTCCGTATGATGAAGGCACCGAGGTCAATATCACATGCATCGCAGTTGGAGGTATGTTAAATTACATTATTACTTTAACCTAACAATTGTAGTATATTTATTTCATACTAGCTGTGCCTGCGGATTACCCGCGTTAAATTTCAATAGGTATATAAATTTCAATATAAAATGTAGTCTATGTGTTATTCTGATTCATAAGTTATATTACTGTAAAATTTCATCAAAATCCGTTCAGTAGTTTTTGCGTGAAAGTGTAACAAACATCCATACTCACAAACTTTCGCTTTTATAATATTACTAAGATTTTTTGAAAATAATAAAAGTATATTGTAAATTTTAAAGTGCTTCATTTGTTGCTCTATTTAGATTATATGTTTATTAGTTAGGTGGTTCGTTAAAACTCTGCAAGATGGCGATATAAAACAACCTTACAAAATTACGTTACCTACTCGTATCTATCATAAAAATGTGAGACGTTGTGTTTTTCAAGCTAACTGATTAACTTTAAAGAATCTGTTGAGTTTCTTCCTAATTCATATCAATTGAAACTCAAGCTTCAGCTGTAACGTATCGGCAGGAAAAAGTATTAAAAAAAATACTTGCATTAGTACACGAACAAATATTTTTTTAATTTGAATTCGGAGCGTCTAGAAGTAAGGATTTAACTATAAAACGATTTTACAAACTAACGCTGAGATATTTGACAAATTAGAAGGAAAAACTCTTCTTGCACACCATATATTTTGTGCCTTTAGAAGAAAATCTGGAAAGCCATATTTTTTCCTACTTTCTATATTGATTGGCTCATTCTTATATTAGTTGCAGCGACATATATTTTAAGTAATAAAAAACAGATTGTTTGTTTCTCTTAATGTCATTCAAGTTTTGCATAAAATAGTACTTCTTTACGTAATTCCAATGGCAAAAAACTGAAATTACATATTTTATTTCACAATGAATATTTTATTTTGACGTTTTATGTCGAGACGTGACAAATACAGTTGATATTACTCAGAATTTATATCTTTTGAACTCATTGGAATCGCTAAAATTATTTTTGACAATAGTTTTAAGTAATTGAATATTTTATGTAATTGAAATGCCAAACAAGCTGACCATCCACCACCTGTTTTTTTATTTTTTCCTTTATCTTGCACTATTTAAAATAAATATATAATTGGCGAGCTTAATACCACTACTACATTCTCTGCCAGCTAACCATTGGGTAAAAACAGAAAGCGGTTGAAGAGCAGTACTGGAAAAAGGCATACTATTGGTATTTACCTAACTTAGTTAACTAAGTGTGTGTGTCAATACCAGTATGCTTACATAAATAATATAAAATTAAATACTTACTATAATAAATTCTATAAAGAAATAATAAAAATAACTTTTAATATATATTTCATGTTATTATTTACTTAAATACACCGACCACTAATCTCTGTTTGCCGTATGGTCGATTGGGAGAAAATGCCTTATGGTGTTAAGTCCACCATATGCACCTTTATTTTGTTTTATATTTGTGCATGAAGTATTTATAAATAAATAAATAAAAAACATGATATAGCGAAAACTATAGCCTATTTACATGCATAACGAATATGTTGCATACCATCATATCATGTGATGCCAGTGGCAACACTCATGCGTTGCCATCTAGGATCCCAGAGGACTGGGATGTCATGCCTTTTATCCTATAATCATTGCTATATCACACCCTAAATACATCGTACAAAGCAAGCGGCATGCATAAACGAAATATCTCCTTTGTCTTTACAAAGGATTACACTCTATCTGGAGGAGATAAAAACGATCGCTCCTAAGAATATCCTTTAATTCTTGTCCCTGACGAGTCTAGGTAGTGAACCCTGAAAAAGGGCGAGTACTATAGATCTTTAGCGCGTAGATTGTTACCGCTATTACTTATATATCCAGTGTTCGTCTAGTATAGGCAGCAGCAGGAAAAGCGATGATAGAATAAGACCAGTCGTGGCTTTGTATATATATGTGTATTCTTATATTATTTACAGTAGTGAATGATAATAATATAAATGGAAATTATATAAGAAAAGAAGAGATTCGGTCCGCTACGACAGGATTGTTATTTTTCTCCCTCATGTGTTGCTAGGCAACGTTGTGCCACACGCTGTCCGTATATTCCCCACAGATCTATGTAGGTCGCAGTACTACAGGTCCAAGCACCTGATAATAGCCTAAATCACCTAATAAAAAAGCAACCGGCTTCATAACTGAAATAGGTTACAAAGAGGGTGCCTCTTTGTAACCTATTTCAGTTACGCAGATAACTTTTACGCAGACGAGTTTTTACAACGTATACCTCTGTGAATAGTATGGATATTACATATTATAAAAAAATAAGTAAATGTATAATTTATGCAGTCTGTGTATATATGATTGTTATGCAAAATGATCAGAGAAAGCATTTTTTAAACTGACACGTCAAAAATAAAGTTATTTGTGGCCACGCAAGCAAGTAAATCGTTGAGAAAATTAACTTATTTCCAAGTTGAAGTAATACGTTTCTACTAAATTATGAGGCTACAGTCTAGACAGGTTTAATAGCTAATTATTCAATATTTCAGAGTGCTGGAGACGCAATAGTTTAGAAATTATGAGTAGATAACAGTGGCCAATGCATTTTGCTTGATTACTTGTTATAGAGCAGACAAATTACATCGGATTATTCAAATATATACAACACAATGCGACGAGTATTATTATAATATACAATACAGTACAACTTGTTGATAAGTTATACTGTATTGTATTATATTATATCGACGGCCTCGGTGATCTAGTGGTTTAGCACCCGCTCTACATCCGATGGGCGCGAGTTCGATTCCTCACACGACATAAACATTCATGAGTATGATTGTATCCGACTGGGTGTTTTCTATAATATGTAGTTACGAAAAAATCAATGTATTTGTATCAGTTAGCTAGCTTTACTTGGATGTAGATGGGTCTGTGTTAATTGTCCTGCGATTATTATTATTATTATATCATCATATATTATGTTATATTATATTATAAATTAGAAAGTGTGTCTGTTTATAAGTTTATACCTTTTCAGAGCAAAATTGCAATGTTATATAAAGATAGACGAGGTAGATTTTTTTTTAAATATTTTTATGCTTTCGACTCTTACTGGCTTTTACAGCTTCACCGGACGAATTGAGGCAGAACATAGGCTATATTTTATCTGAATAAGAAGCAGACAAAATTTATTTTATTTATTAAAACTTCAATGGACATAACACCTTGAGGCATTTCCAGTCACCATTGGGCAAACAGAGATTCATGTAGGCGGACAAAATTGCGGGTAACACCTAGTATTAGTGTATATTAAAATTCGTCGGTAACAATCAGATGCAGATTCCACGACCCCGATTAGGGGCTATCTACATTTTCCAACAAATAAAGCCCTGAACTTGTTGTGAAACCACAAAAATAGTACAGAAAATACTAAAGCAGCGGATGAGTTCTGGGTAAAAAAAATGTGTAAAACAAAAGGGTCTCGGTGGGAAGACCCTTGTCAAGCAACGTGGGTAGCGTGGCCCAAGTATAAACTGGTTGCGATTATACTTAATATCAGTTGTCTAGTACCCATAACACAAGCTGTACTTATCTTGGGACTAAGTTGCGCTGTGTTAATTGTTCAATGTTATTTATTATTATTATTTGCTTGTAATTGTTATAACGACATGTAAATGAGGATGGTTATAAGGGCAGAGGAAGGCCGAAAAAGAGTTGGATGGACTGTGTGAAAGATGATATGGTAAGAAAGTGAGTAAAAACGAGACGACTGCGAACAGGGACGAATGGAAGAGAAAAACATATTACGCCGACCTCAAATAAATGGAATAAGGTAGAAGCAGATGATTATGTTATAACGAAAATCGCTCTCGCTCTCGCTATCTCGTATGACTCGGGTCAAATCTCACCAGTATGCGTGAATTGGACATTTTTCGCTAAACACCCCACGGGACCCGCCGACGAAACTGCATGACGTTTGATAGGGGTTAAACTTCTACTGTTATGGGCTTAGGTTCGGACGCGAAAAGTAGGTATCCGGACAGGAATAAATAAACCGCATTAGACACTAATTAAATATGTTCAATTAATGAAAAGAAATATTTTTTATATACAAGCATACGGCCCATCTGATGTTATACAGTAAACTTGTAAACTACTAACTAATTTGTAACTCGTCTGTGTGGGTACCTTGTTCTCCCTTATATGCCACCAAGCAGCGTGCTTTGTAAGCTATGAATAGAATAGAATAGAAAATCATTTATTCAAATAAACTTACATTGAAGCAAGCTTTTGAATGCTCACTTTTTTTTTAATCTACCGTCATTCGGAAAGCTGTCTCATCATAAGAAGAACAACCAAGAAACTAAATAATTTTATTGTTACTTTACTGTTTAAGTTGAATGTGTGAATACAAATTACCAATTAGAAATTAAATTAAATACTCAAATAGAAAAAATATTAAATATATAACCAACTGGTTAAACAAATAAATAATAGGAAATCAGTCGTAGTGTTTAGAGTAGACCGGTCCCTACAAGCAGCACCCGTTCACAAGTATGACGGATTATGTTTCGGTTAACAAGCAAACGGCCCATCTGATGTTTAACCATAGTAGACTTGTAAAACTCGTTTGCGTGGGTACCTCAGTGTCACCAATTTCAGCCGTCAAGCAGCTTGATTTGTTAGCTGTGTTTGGTTGTAGGATGCAGATAAGGCAGTCAAATTGCAGAATAAGAGGTATGACATCTTCATACAGGCATGACTGTTATAATACCATATCTCGACATAAATTTCAAAGTATTTTATATGATATTCTTTTATTATACATAAATAAATTTTAATTTGAATACTTATTTGTTAAATAATAAAATTAATTTTTAAATTTATTCTTAAATTGTTGTTTAATTTCGTAAAGATGTTTGGCAAATGATTATAATTTTAATGAACATACAATATACATTGGGTGGGAAGGAATTATTCAGTAACTATGACTAGTGGTCCTAAGACTAATAACACATCCTGTGAGGTTGACCTCCACGCGGATCCCTTTGGAAAACATCGTGCTAAATTCTTGGTGAATTTGACACTATGTGTCATATATATATCTATGTATTATAACAGTTGTCCAATACCCATAACACAAGTTCTGATTAGCTTAAGAATAGATGGCGCTGTGTGAATTCTCCTGAAATATAAATACAAAAAAAGTATATAAGTATTTATATAAGTTATCTAGTACCCATAACAAAATTCAGGGTTATTATAGGTATTAAGTGTGTATAATCAATTTACTATACAAAAGCTATTGAAAGTATTGAATCATGATAACAAATAGGATATCTATTTGTCATTACGTGTCATAAAAATATTCAAATTATAACTTTACTGTTTAAACACTGGTAATTTCGTTTACATATCTTAGAAAAGAATTCAATTCAGTTCGTTACTGAAACGTAGCAAAGAATATTTTATCTTATTCCACTTGATTTATGGTTCAATATATTTTACATTGTAAGCGCATTTCATTAAATTAAAAGTGGAACCCAGTGCTATACCATTGTTACATTACAATATTTATTGTTCTATTTCTATTGACAAAAGAGGTTTATAACTTAAGACCTACATATTACTTACAACTACAGTTTAATACCTAATTGATACTTGCCGCTCGGTCAAGATATTTTTTTTTAAATACATCTTAATCTTAATAATATTATAAACGAAAGTTTGTGAGTGTTTGTTACACTTTCACGCTAAAACTGCGGAACGAATTTTGATGACACTTTACAGCAATATAACTTACGCATCAGAATAACATAGAGGCTAAATTTTTTATTGAAATTTAACACGGGTGAAACCGCGGGCATAGCTAGTTCTTAATATACATAAAAACACCCTAAACATAACAAACATTCGTACTTATGTTTGCGTCGTGCGAGGAATCGAACTCGCGACCATTACAAGTAAAGCTGTGTGCTAAAACGCTAGATCACCGACAGACACATACTATCATGTATTTGACGCATACTATCTTTGATAATAGAACTTTAATAATATTCAAACTTATAAATTAAATTAATTATATGACCATTTGTTTCAGGGCGTCCCACCGCAAGGGTGTCATGGTGGAAATCTCACGAACTCCTAGCCAATTCAGAGGCAAGAGCCACAGTCTCGTTCAGGCTTCGAAGGTCGGATCTCAGCACGCATGTTACCTGTCAGGTATGGATACAATACGATACGATACGATATGATATGATACATGATGTGATATTTGATATTGTGAGAAAACAAGCATACGGCTCATCTGATGGTAAACGGTTAACGTAGCCTATAGACGCCTGAAACACTAGGAGTGTCATGTGCCTTAACAAACCTTAATATACTCTTCTTAAAAAACTTCAAGCTGTAGTCTTTCGAGGAAACCTGACCAGCTAGTTCATTCCACAATATAAGTACGCGGGAGGAAGCTCCTCTGAAACCGCACTGTCCGAGACCACATAAGTTCCAGCATGTGGGGATAAATTCCATGTCGATGGCGAGGCGTGATGGTAAGAAGTAGCCGTCATGTTGAGCAATTCTTCAGAACAGAGTTCGTTGTATATTTGGTAGAACACACAAAGTGATGCAAAGTCTCGCAAAATATATACAATATGGTAGATACACACAATTGCGATGCAAAGTATATTAATTTATTTCGCCGTACAAAATATATACAATAATGTAATAAAAATTAAATGAATTTAAATCGTCTCTGTGGTCAAGGCAGTGACGACGGCAATCTGCCATTGTAGTGATACACCACCCCTTTCAGCCAATAGTCCTCCTTCATGAAGGTGGGCAGCATGTTGGTGGGAACCCGGGCTACAAACGCCTTGAAACTCGCGTTGTGACGAGTCACAGAGTCGAGACTCCAGCTGGGTCACCCTCAATGTCAGGTTACTCTTGGCCCTTATGTAGTTGACATATTTACCTAATATAGTATGTTTTATAATGGTAACAGGTGCTGGGGACTGGTCTGTTCGGGTTCCAAACACTGATTATACTCATTACTTTTGCAATAGCATATGCTGGGTGGTCACTCTATTCTCCCAAATTCGAATTTATAAATGAATCTGTATTATTGTAAACATGTACAACATTTATTTGAAAAGAATACGAGCTGAGTTTCTTGTCAGTTCTTCTCACCTCGAAATCATTCCGAACTGACGGTAGATTTGACATGTCATAGGTGTCTGTAATAGACAGGAAAAGAAAAAAAAGATATATGTTTTTTATCTAACATATGATAATTTTTCTTGCAGGCCGTGACGGATCCTTCAATATCGCCAGTCTCCGAAAATATATCAATAGACATAAACTGTAAGTACATCTATTCTTATAATTGATTACTATCGATCTAACGCGTCTTTGCACGTGTAATTATTATAGTAATTATGGTAAATGATAACAGGCGCTATATACTCTATTACTTATTACACTTTATACTTTACCACATGTCGTCTTTGGTACATACATGTTGCATGTTGTTAAGATACATTCATTCATTCATTCATAATTTAAAAGCTGTGCTCTTGTTGGTGGAGCTCCCGCCACCTTCCACGATCTTCCATCAGTCCTTTTAGCTGTTGATACCTCGGTACTTTGTAATTTCTCTGCCTTATTTCACCGTTCAACCGAAATACATTTTACAATCTAAATTATTTTGCTGCTGAATTAATTCAGAACGACGCAGATGAATTTATAGAAAGTCTATATTCTGAAAATAGTAAACTACTTGACAGATTGAAATGTCTACAGGTAGATCATATCCTAGACTTAACATAGATACTAATGTTTATTTATCTACATATATACGGACAGTGCAGCGATATATATAGTTTTTAAGTAGTGGGGAATAAATAGTAATACAAAAATCTTGACGTTCACAAACGGCTAAAATGTCCTATATGATTAATTAATTTTTGATTTGATTTGATTAAAATATATATATAACAAATGTTATAGTTTATATGATATTTTTTCATAACTTGCAAGAAGGCTGTATTTAAACGCAATACTAGACCAACTCAACATCGAAATTACAAAAATCTTTGCGCCCCAGATAGCTATAAAGCCGCTTTTTCACTTCACCGTCAACCAAGGTATGCTTTCTACAAAGTCCTCTGCGGGTCCTCGGTTTCAGCTATTTCAGCCGCCAAGCAGCACGCTTTATAAAGCGTGCTGCGTGCTGCTTGCTTGCTTAACAAAAAAAAACATACAAATGAAACAGTTTATAAACTGTTTCATTTGTATGTTAATAATGTTTTGTTAATAATGATAAAAACTATTCCCTCATATTAAATTCCAGGCTTGTTACCTTAATTACTTATATATTTATATATATATATATATATATTCTTTATTGCACCATAACAACAAAAAATATATAATACACTACTTATTTACTACAGAATACAGGAGTACTTTAAAACTAAGGATTATACATTTTATATATGATTATACAATGTTTTGTTTATTTTTACTTTTTAAGTTTTTAATAGATTTTTTCTCTTTGTAAAGATGTTATTTAGCGTACTATATCATATTTTGTGTTGATGTCTTGAAATTATTTATTAATAACCGAGTTGTCAGAACGGTCCGTGAGCAGTCGCCGTTATTAAGAACGGATTTATTAATTAAAGCAACTTTTGCCCCGGTTCCATTGTTCCAGATTTTCTTTTTCTAGATTTATTTTATTATTCCTAGACGCTGTTTGTGATGTGACTGTGAGCGAGATATTCAGAATAATATTACAATAGAGTCGAGTTTTTAAACGAACTGTTTTTGCGATGTATAAATAATTATTTTTTATGAGAATGCTGTGAATGTTCCTGCAAATTATTATTGTAGTAGTTTTGTATTGTTTCAGTTTGTGGGATTAATTTTAATATAGTGTAAATGTAGTAAATAATGCGCAAATTCAACTGCTAGCTTCCGGGCCTCTTTTTTTTTTATAGCACATTTTTTTTAGAGCTTGCAGGTAAGTGATCTCTCGCGATGGTAAGTGATTCCCGCCGCCCATGAGTACCCGTAACAATTGCAAGTGCTTTGCCGGCCTTTTAAGCTCTTATCTTGAAGGTTTTTATATCGATTCGGAAATACCATTGCTGGAAGGTGATTCCACAATGTGGTTGAGGTAGCCTGAATACGTACCGGAATATATTCAGGATTATAAACAGCGGTTACCACTTACCATCAAGTAGACGGTCAGCTTACTTCCTATTCCAATTATATGAAAAAAATGGAATCGCCTCCAGTAAAGGTTTGTGCAGAAAGCGGTCACCCATCCTAAAACTGGTCGAGAGCAAACATGCTTAACTTCATTAAGCAATTGGTTAGTATATGACAAACTATTTACGATGTGAACATAAATGTAATCGGATATGTATGTTCCATAGTTTTCTTACCAGTACCGAGCATTCAATCTTCAGGGCTAATAATAAAAAAAGTATATATTTCTCTATACCATAGATGCCATAGATTATCAAACTCATCTCTGTGCCCTGATTGACGCATCATTACCGCCAGAGAATATTTGTGCGTGACTTGCGTGTCTTCGCATCTGTCCCTTTCGCTCGTTACCTAATTATAAGCCATCTCTTTCCGTCCTGATGGGATTATTACGTCGATATTAGACGCGTGTTATGATATTCTGTTGATTTGTAACGTCTTAAAGAAAAGTGATACCTTGTACTAATCAACCGACTTTCAAGAAAAGAGGAGTTCACCAGCTTTTTTCTGATTGTAAATGGCCATAGCCTATAGACACCTGGAACACCAGAGATGGCACATGGACGTTGCAAACCCTTAATAAACCCTTAATAATAAAAAAACGTCGTGCTGTCTCTCGAGGAAAGCTCGGCAGGTAGTTCATTCCACAATCTAAGTGTACCCGGGAGGAAGCTCCTCTGAAGCCGCACTGTCCGAGACCACTTAGGTTTCATCGTGTGGGGATAAATTCTCTGTCGATGGTGAACGCTGCGATGGTAAAAGGTAGCCAATAGAAAAACTACACTAATTTTAAAATTAAAAAAATAATGTGTTGGTGCAAACAAGCATACGGCCCATCAGATGGGAAACAGTTACTGTAGCCGTACCTGAAACATTAGAAGTGTTTTTAACAGAGTTATTAAGGATGATTGACAAACGCGTTGCAGTCCTTTTAAAGTCCTTAATATTTTCTCCTAAAAATACAAAATTTTGTCAGAAATAACTACCAAACGGAGCTTAGTTGGCTAGGTACCTATTGTTTTAGTAAGAGCAGAATGGCTCCCACATGACACCTTATGGATACAGTGTGGGTTCAAAACGACGCTGTTTCGGGCTTAAGCGGGCTTTGTTTTGTAGCGAGCAAGCACATTTCGAATCACCTTTTATACCTTATAATCTATTGCTTACTGCATTATTATTCAAATTGTTTAAATATCTGATGATAATAATATATGAGTACATGTAAGGTTATAGATAATTCTGGACAATTAACACAGCGCCATCTAGTCCCACGGTAAGCAGAGCTTGTATTACGGGTATTAGATAACTGATATAAAGACTTAATTTTTTTTAAATACATACATATTATACATAGAAAACACCTAGACCGATACAAACAATCATACTCGTGAATACAAATATTTATTTGCACATTAATGATATGATATTTTTTTAAAGTAACATTATAAAGACTATATAATTTTTGTTTATAATAAATAACACATAAAATTCTCCAAGAATTTTAATAAAATCTTTCACCTGTATAATGCATTAACACCTATCTATTTTGTTTACCATTTAGGATACTACTATGTAAACAATCATACGGTCCATCTGATGGTAAATGGTTACTTATGGATGCCTCTATACATTGGCGCTTTACTTGCCTATGATAATTTATGATATTTACGATGATAAACCATTAAACTCTTCTCGTTAAAGTTAAAAGAAGAATAAATACTTATTAAAATATTAAATCAAGTTTGCGATAACATCAAGTTATCACGCATACGAAATGTTGTACAAATAAAAAACAGAACGCGCGGCATGAAAATACCATAAAGCAATCTCTGAATCTCAACACCCAAATAAACAACCGCTGGCTACTGCGAAAATTAAGCGTACATAAATCTCGTACAGGGCTGCCAACCATGATTTTGGTATGAGTACGAGACTTGAAGGTACGAGTTTATAACTACCTTCGTACAATTTTGTACGAAATTATGACTTACAGAAATGTACGGGTAAAATTTGTACGAAATTATGACCTATAGAAATTTAAGGGTAAATTTTGTACGAAATTATGACTCACGGAAATTCATCGGTAAATTTTTCACGGCATTTAAAATTATGAAGTGTATCATGAATGCAAGATCTGTTAATAGGATCAAGTTATTAGGTGAACAATGTGTAGTTAGTTTAGTATTTTTTATGGATGATAATGGAATCGGGCAAATTCACCAGGAATTTAAGTTGATGATTTCCAGAGAAAACCGCGTGGAGGTCTACCTAACTTGGTACATTGCTAGCAATAGGTTTATTAATCCACACTACTAAAGATCCCCTTCCTCCCGCTAGTTTAGTGTATACTTGACGGCCTCGGGGGGGTCAGCTCAGTGCTATACAGTTATACTAGTAACTTTAGACAAGTTTTGCTTAACTTGGGACTAGATGGATGTGGATTATCCAGGGTTGTTATTATTATTATTATATAGGCTGCGAGATTATTTGGCATTCCAATTTTAAAAAATCCATTTTAAGTAACAACCCTAACTGTAAAGGTGACCCTCGATCGACTGAATATGCCAATGTACGAGGTTGAAAAGCCAATAAAGAATGAATGAAATTTTTGAGTACAACGTAAAGATTCATACTATACTACGTACTCACCTTAGTCTATATGTATCTAAGCCGAATTTCGGTTGTAGGGTGCCATTGGTGAGTAAAATTGAGGTATGATATCTTAGCCCTCTAGAATAGCAATGAATGAGTGGTATCCCGGTATGATACATGATAATGTGATATCCGTAGTGCTGTTCATTTATTTAGGTCTTGATGTGGAATAATTGGATGAAGTTCTCAGTCGCTCGTTCTTTGCTTGATCGTAGTGGCTTGAAGGTCCACATGGGACGTGGTGATGCGGCTCGAATGATCAGATGGTACTTTAGGATGGCTTCAGCAGATTACGGGGTGTAGAAAATGATATTATCTTTTGCTGACTAAACGGCTGATTAGATCTTACCATCAATTTAACTCTTGGCGTTAATTTCAATAAAAAAGTTATTTTAATGTTGCCAACCCTGATCTTTTGTAGGCCTTCGAAAAAAAAA